CTGTGTTTTCTACTCTTGTTTGCTTCCATTATGCTTTCTCTGCTCAAAATTTGTCCCTCAAGTGAAATAGTCAAATTAAGTTTTGCTTTTGTAATTTGCACAGTTTATACAGGGGACACTGCTGGAAGTGAAATGGTGCATTACAATCAGATTAGGTCAAATAAAACAGTTGCACACTGTATAATGTTACACAAAGTATAATGACACGTGATACATAGCAACATATCAATATAAATCACGTATAAAATCTGATTAGCCTTGCATCAGATTTAATGAATTGATGAATTCATTCAAGTTGATAGAAAATAAGCCTTAAATGTCCACTACAACAATCATATTAAGAACCGAGCCCTAGCATCCACTACACAGAGTATCCTCTCATGGTGAGCAACGTTGTTAAATTTCCATGCGAGCGTGGTTTAGCACGATATGTTTACCTTCATGATGTGATCATCCTCCAAACTCTTTCATCACCAAGGTTATATACAGCCTAATCCTGATTATGTTGCATCACGCTGGAAATACAAACTGTAACCGTGTCAACTGAGACAAACTGAAACTGTTGTGCGATACATGGTGATAAAAAATATTGAAAAACATTCTAATCAATTGGAATTTTAAGTCAGACAAGGACTGTTTAAATGTCTTTTTTTCAGAAACATTTACCTGCAACAAACTGTCCAATTTGTCCCCCAAACAAATTAAATTAACCACATTTGTTCCCTCTTTTGTAATACTAATACTATCTAATACTATCTATTTGGAAAGCAGTTGACTTCCAATCACGTTATTTAGAGAACAGCCAAAAGTGTGAGTGTGTGTTGTTTGTGAGCGTGACTCTGAGGTATTGAGGTTTTTTTCTGTGTTTCTCATCACCACTGTCCCGATTTAACTTTGATCATGCAGTCATCTCAACTATACCTACCGCAAAGTCAGCAACCCATTTTAAACTTTCCACAGGATGTATGTTTTTTTTTTTGGCTTACTATACCATGTGATCCATTTTTACGGAGTGAAAGTCAGTATGTTTCTAAAGTACGCCGACATTGGCAAGTCACCTTCATTTATATAGCACTTTAAATGTTGTTTCAAAGGAGCTTAAATAAACAGGAAAATAATGATCAATGATGTAAACCGAATTCAATTCTTCTGTAATGCAGCTCCAAAGAGACAACAGTGTTATTTTTCTACATTCTGAGCTCAATTCAGTGTTGATTCGGTTCAGTTTAATAACTGTGTAAAGTTAATTACGAAATGAGTTCAGCTATAAAGCAGCTCTGCAGAAAACAGTGATGTCATCGTTCCTCTTTTTACTTCAGTTCTTATCCAATGGTGTCAGTGCATTCAAGTCAATAATATTGCAGAATATTAAGTGTCCTAACTAAGCAAGCTAAAGGTGACATTGGCAAGGAACCCAAATATCATGAGACAGAAATGGAGAAAAAACTTGGGAGGAAAGAGGCTCAATAGGGAAACCAGTTCTCATCTGGCAAAACGAACAGACATGGTTTGATGTTGATTACAGTCTGCATCACAATTGTATTTTAGCACCTACATTTGGAACTTGAGTATTTTTGTGCAAAATCAGTGGTGGAAGAAGTACTGAATCTCAGTACTTAAGTAAAAGTACAAATAACCAGATAAATATTTACTTCAGTAAAAGTAGAAGTATCACAATGACAACCATACTTAAGTAAAAAGTAAAAAGTACCTGATTTTAAATGTACTTTAAGTATTAAAAGTAAAAGTACTCGCATAACAATTGATTATCTTAATGACTATTTTCTAATGATTAATAAAACATTTAATTCTAACTCGTTCCACCTAATACTCCTATAATGATGTTCAATAATTATGGAAAAAAAATAGTTGTCACCATTTCTGAAACAAGCTTGCAATTAGGCAATATGCACATCATGCTTATCCTTACTATATATTAATAACTATGTTTGGCAGTAAACGTGATTAATTTATGGTGTAATTCTGAACCTCTTGGCTTGCCATAGGCTAATCCTAACCAAATGTATAGGCATTTTACACACGGTGTGTTTCCTATGCACATAAAAACAAATTTTCGCGTTTAAATTGCACGATAAACGCACTGCGTGCAAGACGCATTTAGTGTGACCGGGTTGATGTATCTATGGCAACCAAATGTCACTGGTGGTGAGACAAACGTGCAACGAACGGACGGTCCGATTACGTTTTGGCAGGGGAAAAACTGATCAGAAAATGTAATGAAAAAGTAACAGAAGTTGTAGAAATGTAGTGGAGTAGAAAGTATAATAATTGCTGCAAAATGTAACGAAGTAAAAGTAAAAAGTATGCACTATTTATTCTACTTAAGTAAAGTAAAGATACGTGAAAAATGTACTTAAGTAAAGTAACAAAGTATTTGTACTTCGTTACATTCCACCACTGTGCAAAATGAAGGTGTGTCTGACCCCTCTGAGACTAATAACCCTGGAGTCTTTGTTAGTCTTAATAGGACTTTTCACACTGTGCTTAACAACAGGTTATCATCGCTCTAAAACACCGCTTTTAACCCTGGGTAAAGGAATGTTTCACACTTGTAATTTAGTTGGGGGGTTAGCACCATTTTTTAGCCGGGGTTATGAGACTTTTGTGGTGCCAAAACTTGCAGTGTGAAACAATGCAGTGTTAGAATGTTACAGCTAGACACTTAGCAACAGACAACCAATCGCGTACATATTTGTATGCTCAGACAGTCAAGGAAACACAAAGGATTGTGTAGTAAATCCAGCATTTGAAAGGAAAAATGTCTAATGCTAACAGGAAATGCAACAATTTGAGTGAAGAAGAGAGCGTTTCATTCTTACTTTTATTGTCCGAAATGTCAATTCATTATAAACTCGATATTACAGTTGAAAAATACGAGGATGCACAATGCTAGAGCTTTTATGTAAACAGGTTGAACAGGGTACACATGTAAACACTATGTGTGTACCAATTACCTCCATTCACTTCTCCAAATCCATGTTTCAGTCAGAAGCCTGCGGTCAGTGTTCAATCTGTATATGTAATACTATTCCCATTACAGCTCTGAAACTTGATAGCATTATTACAGTGACAGTCAATTGGAAATCACTTTTGTTGTTGTAGGTGTATTCTTTTTCGCTACATGGATTTATGTAAATGTACATTTTAAAGTTTATTTATCACCTCTGAACATTATTATTTTTATACTTATATTTGTCTTTTTCCTGTGCCTTTGTTCAGTGTCTTTGTTAGCGTTTAGTTGGCTTTTCTTTCATTCGTTCTTAAACAATTGAAACTGTCACCATGTCACCACACCTAAATCATGCCAAAGGAATGGCATGCATGGGTGGGACAGCAAATTAAAGATCAAGTCTTCAGGGACTGGATTTAAGCTCCGAATTTTGCTCTCTTCTTAATTTAAATAATTGATTTAGGGAAATGTTTTTTCCTGCAAGTTATCAGGCATCTAAACGGGCAAAAGATGAGTCACAGCCGGCCAGTATTTGAATGCGGTTTAAAGTCATGCATCTCATGCAATCATGTTTCACATCTCACATAAATGGGGTGGTGATGGCGCAGTGGATGAGACACATTTCTTAAGTGTGAGAGACCCGGGCTCGAATCCACTGTGAGACACCAATGTGTCCCTGACCAAGACACTTAACCCTTAGTTGCTCCAGAGGTGCGACCTCTGAAATATATAGCAATTGTAAGACACTTTGGATAAAAGCGTCAGCTAAATGAATAAATGTAAATGTACACAGCAAAATCTTCAGTGTTGAAATCCTGGTGTTAAAGTCTCTTAGAGTAAAGTGTTAATTTTCTGGTGTTGAATCTCAAGGGATTAACACTAGCTAGTGTAAACCACACTCTGGCTGGTGAAAACATGTGGAGTTAAATCTAAGTAGCACCTGAGAATGCTTTGACAACACCAATAATAGTGTTACTAGTCACATCCGGGACATTTACGTGCTGGGCGGAACGAAACGAGCTGAAACTTGACTCACAGGCGCCATTTTCTTTGACTCGAGTCGCAAGGCATACGAGGAGGAAACACGCATTTATTACGTGTTTTATCGCATTTATAGATTCATTTTATAACATCATATTGTTTTATAACAATATGTATGTTCTGTGGACGAGCAAACCGCTCTCAGAGGGACATTTTCTATGACGCGCGATTCGGGGCAGACCAGGATGGGTTTGCTTTTTAACCGGGAAACAACGAAAGTAAGTGTTTTCTAATTTACATTGGCAATGTATTTTATAGTATATTGATTCATGGCGATATTTAAATGCCCAGCGCGATTAAACGGTCGAAATTCTTTTCAAAGGCGACATCATCTTTGACTAGCCTAAATACGGAGCTGACGAGGAGGAGGCTTAACGTTAACAGAGAAAACACCTACAGTAAGTGTTTTTAACATAATTTACCTCATGAATTTCATGGCATTATATTGTTTTGTAACGATATTTATGTAATGTGCGCGCCTAAACCGTCAGGTCCTGCATCTTTGACTCGTGACGCATTTCAAAAAGCAGTGCAGAATGCAGACACGGAGTTTGCTTTTAACAGTGAAAACACCGAGTAGGTAACTTTAAGTGTTTTTTTACTCATTTACTGTGCTACGTGTTTTATAATATGATATTGTTTTATGACAATATGTGTGATGTGCAAATATCATAAAGTATTTATCCTCAAACTATCTTTTACTCTCGTCTGCCAGCTAAACCAACTCCACAAACTGCGGACCAACAATGCACGTGAAATTTTCACTTTATTTCCTTATTTGGAGGACCAATCTTCTTAGAATGGGTAAGCAATTATTTCAAATTAAATATTGATGCAAAATGTATTTATCAGATTAACTTTTGGTTGATACTTGGAGATGCTTTAATGTTTAAATTTATTGATTTTTGCAATTTGTTTTTGCTAGGAGCAATTCTATGATGCACCAAGTGGCTAAGGGTACCAGGCTTGGTGTTTAAAGACTGTACAGACTAAAACCTGGTGATGGAAAGATAACAGATAAGTTAACATATGAGAGAATCATGGGCACAAACAAAAATAATCATGGCTTGGTATTACTAGATTTTCTTTGTTTCATAACACATATTTTGAATTTGTCTAGCCAAATTACTTAATAAAAGTGTGTGTGTGTGTGTGTGTGTGTGTATATATATATATAAACTTAAAATAAGATTTCTAATCAATGGTTTTCTTGATTTGACAAGTAGAAATCTCTGCCCATCACCTGCCCCCAACATTACAAAGCCACAAGAAGAGAACACCGATCCTTCCAGAATCCGGCGGCTGACTATTTAGTGAGATTTCTTAAGGTGCGTGTCTTAATTTATTCTTAAAGTGTTAGTTCACCCACAAATGGAAATTCTGTCATTAATTACTCACCCTCATGTCGTTCCAAACATGTGAGCGTTTTTCGATGTTCACAACACAAACGAAGATATTTTTAATGAAATCTGAGAGCTTCGTGCCCCTCCATTGACAATCTACGCAACTACCACTTTCAAGCCCCAGACAAAAGTACATCATTAAAGTACTCCATGCGACTCCAGTGGTTTAACATAAATGTTTATTAAACTATGCAAGTGCTGTGTTTGCAGCAAAAACAAATTTACCAATTTATTAAATATTTATTTCCAACATGCGTTCATGAGAACATTACAACTCGTGCATGTTGTTGATGTGCATGTATGTGCATTGAAGAGGAATATTTTGTAAATAAAGTTGAGTTAAAATTGTGAAATTTATGTTACACCACTAGAGTCACATGGATTACTTTGATTTCCTTTATACCTTTCCGTGGCTTTGGAAGTGGTGGTTGAATAGGCTTTAGATGAATGGACAGAAATCTCTTATATTTCATTAAAAATATCTTCATTAAAGGGACTGTTCACCCAAAAATGTAAATTCTGTCAGTATTTACTCACCTTCATGTTGTTCCAGCCCTGTAAGACTTTCGTTCATCTTCTGAACACAAATTAAGATATTTTTGATTAAATCTGAGCTATCTCACTCCTCCATAGGCTTCTAAGGGATCAAAACTTGCCAGCCCAGAAAGTTATTAAAGATATTGTTAAAATAGTCCAAGTGTCTACAGAAGCGCAATCATAAGTTTATCAAGCAACGAGAATACTTTGTGTGCCAAAAACAAACAGAAATTACGACTTAATTTAACTATGCATGCTTCTCTGTGAGCCTTGAGATGGTTCTCGTAGTGTAACAGTGCTTCAGTGTTGTACGTCACACACAGGCTCACTATTGGCCGATGCTGGTTGTGTGTGTGTGTGACGTACAACACAGAAGCGCTGCACTGTTACACTGTTAACTTGCTCAGGCCCACGCAGAAGAAAATGAATAGTTAATTTTAATATTTTTAGTTTGGTTTTTTTTTTTGCATACAAAAAGTATTTTTGTCACTTGATAAACTTAAGGTTGAGCCACTGTAGTCACTCTGTCTATTTTTACAATGTCTTTAATAACTTTTCTTGGCGCCAAGTTTCAATCCCTTAGAAGGCTATGGAGGAGTGAGATAGCTCAGATTTAATCAAAAATATCTTAATTTGTGTCCTGAAGATGAAGGAAATTCTTACGGGGTTGGAACAACATGAGGGTGAATAATTAGTCAGAATTTTCATTTTTGGGTGAACTAACCCTTTAAGTGTTTCGAAGATGAGAAAAACTCTTACTGGTTTGGAACAACATAAGGGTGAATAATTAATGACAGAATTACATTTTTTTTATTAATTAAATCTTCGATTTACTTGGAAATCAGTAAATTCAAGTCTTAATCAAACAAAAATGTTTTTTGTTTGAGTCGATGATTGAACTTTTTTTCACCCTAAACTTGCTGTATTTATGAAACACAAATGTGTAAATGATCTGGTTTTGTGTTCTAGGTACCCAGTACTACACGATTTTTCACTAAAGTTGGATCTGCACAGCCTTTTCTGCTCTGTGAAACAACTGCACTGAACTTTACTGTTAGCGACTGGATACAGCTGATCCACTCATATCCTGCTACTGTTTTTCATCTGCTGAATGTTTTTGACTCAAGCACTGCTGTACTGTTGCAAAGTCAAAGGTACTGAATTAACTTCACTGACACAGGACTCACATTCACTGATATGTTCAGGACTTAAGTATTAAACACCATTTGATCACATCATATAATTCTGATGACAGAAATCCATATATTGTGCATTCATCGTTTATTTAAAAAATTAACCTATAATGTAAACGTGCTTGTTCGTTAATAAAAAAAATAGTTTGTTTGAAACAACTGTTTACATTTTGCCTTTATTTTTAACTTTACAGTGAACAGAATTCTACTATGATCCCAGACTTTTTGGATTGTTTTGAAATAAAGTTTTTTAAGAGTAATAAAGAGTGATGTGTTTATTTCAAAGTGAAATTATTCTTTTAAATAATAAGATGGTATTGCATTGGAGAGTTGTCTTATTCAATTGTATGTTTGAAAAATTTTAATTTTAATAAATGTTAAAATAAATTCATAGTAACTTGGTTTTTGGAAAAATATCTTCGGGTTTAAAAGTTTAATTTTTTTAAACTTCATCTGCATTACCATTTTAAAATAAGTATACATTATAAACATTAAATCAACATAAAAAAATACACTGGAGTTGTGTGATTAAACACCATAAAGTGTTAAATGTGTATATTTAAGAGTAATAATTTCCAACACCTTGAGTGATTAAATGAAACACTAACACAGTGTTTAAAAAATAAACACTATCGTCAGTGTTGTTTTAACACTAGCAAAGATGGACCTGTATGTTCACCCGGAAAGTGATAATTTTAACACCCATGGTGACAAATCTCCTGACATTTTTTTGCTGTGAACAACCAGTCTCTAGCAGACTTGGTGCGTTCTGACATTGAGTTACATCATGTGATCTTCCAGTAAGAGATTAATGACTTTATAACATTAATAATTGAATATACAATGTACGGTAGACTAAGTCGAAAGATTACACACACATACTCGTCACCAACAACACAGTAAATACACTCATACATTTGCTAAGGATATACTTATAAATCTGTGTTATACACATTATGACTTTTGTCCAGGTTTCATTATGTTGGGTGCAGAGTATTTCTTCCAAGCAAATGCCATCTGTACTGTGTAAACAAGCCTAATCGAGATACTGTTTGTGTGCTTTGTGTGTTTAGGAACATGTGGGTGTGTCCGCTCTTACATTAGACTGCGATACAGGTGTGGAGGACAGGGACTGCACTCTGGGAAAAACAATATATACTGCAGAGAGACCGGTCTCCCTGCAGGAAGCCTCCATGCAGCATGTTTCATGAATTGATTGATATAATACATAGTGCGGCTGAATATGTCTATGAACACACTGAAAAGTAAAAAAATAAATAAACATTATAATGTAAAATTAATTATTTAAGATTAATTCTTTAAGACATTTAAAAAGATGCACTTTTTGAATTTATAAAGTAAATTAGCAACACTTATTATGCTAACTATATTGTACAACTGGTCACATGTTCTTGATGTTCTTAAACATTCACATCATGCTAGAACATGATCATTAGGTTTCAGAACCTCATGCCGAATGCTGCTTTAATTAAAGTAAAAGGAAGACAAATTAAATAAGACTATTTTTTAATAGTTTAAAAAGAAAGAAAGCAGGCCACGATCTCTGTCGATCTCAGCGAGGAGAGCTGCATAAAATTTTTAGCTGCTGCAAAAGCCAGGATCGAACACAAGTCTCTGGCGTGGAAGCTGTGTTTCGCCACTGAGCCACAGGGGCAAAAGTCCCTGCTAATGCTGTTAACCCTTGCTAATGCTACATCTCTTCTGCCTCCCTTTAGCTACAAGGAGCCCCAGAAGAAAGAAGAAAACCTGAGTTATAGTTTTATTCCCTCTCCCCCTTTCACGTTTTGAAGAATAAAAGTTTGCTGCATTGAAACTCTGCCTCGTGTATGTTCTGAGTTAACCCTTCCAAGTCTGGTTTTTGAAGGTTAAACTTTACATGTTGTAATATTTTGGTATGGCCTGTTCGCATACACAAATGTGAGAAAAGAATTAGTTGATTGAAACAGGTTCAGACGTGCTCCTGAAATACACTTCTAAAGCGCCTATTATGTAACAATCTATTATCTTGATCTCTTTGACTGTTATATTGGAAATTTGAATGTAGATTTTTTTATTACAGTCCTAAATTTCATCTTGGGCCTGTAAATGTGACGTAACCTAACCGACCGATCACCTGACAATCAGCTATAGCTGGCCTAATCAGAATGGGTGGGTTATTTGCCTTTGCATTGCTGCAGAAACGTCAATTTCAATAAGTCAATGAAACACTTCAAACAAAACTGCCTGCAAACTGTCAGCACACCTCTGTTTGATCTAGGCTTTTATGAAATACATACACGATAGGGTAAGGTAGGGTAGGTTAATTGTGTTTTTTAGATTTGATTAATATATAGCATATATTTCATGTAAATTTAATTGACTCTTTCAGACAGACTTTTAAATGACTTTTGCATCGGGTATACCTACTTTACCTAAAACATTTTGTGAGATTGTTTTAAGGTTACTGCAAATTCACAGAGGATGACAGCATTTGTAAAAAAGGTGTGACAGAATCATTTGTGCCAAATAATGTTCCAAAGCGATTCTCTTATTAGAACAGATTTGCATGCATGTTTGCATGGAGCAAGTAGGTCAACTGCCATAGAGTACAAGAGTACAAAAAGTCAAATTAGTTACATTCTTATAGCGTTTTTTTACATGCACTCAAATATATTTATGAGTTGAAATTAGTTCATTTCAAGCGTTATTGATAATTAATATAAATATATTGTTCTAAATTATATATTTAAAAACAATATATAAACTCATTGATTAAATTAAAGTTTTCTGAGCAGATTAAAACAAATAATTGGCCGGCATAATATAATAAATGCAATAATTGGTATGTGATGTCATAAAAACTAAATGAAGAGAAAAAAGTGAGAAGTCCTTATGAGTACACAAGTGGGGTTTTATTAGTGTCAACAGAACTACAAATTACACTTTTGCTAAATGTCTATAAGTAAATACAAGAGAGGATCAGCATTTTGCACAATTCTGTCATAACACCATTTTTTTTATTGTGCTATACTGTCTAACGTCATATCAAATTGTTTACAACATGAAAACATACAGTGTGGGACACTGAGAGGTACTTTGGGAGATTTTTTACTTTGGGCATGTGAGAAATGTGTGTTCACTTATCCTGACCCCCTCTGCCCCTCCCTCTGCCCGTTTCCTTGCCGTGCTTCTTCATATAGTAGGCCCTGGCTAGACCACAAATACACTGACTGAATTCACGGAAGTTCACTTCTCCATCATGGTTCTTATCCAGTTCTTCCATCACCTCCTTAATATTCTCTGGATCCACTTTATCCTGAGACAGACATAGAGGGAGGAATGTCAGTCCAGTTATTACTTACCACTCATAGCTCCAAAAAAATGATGAAGGGTAGCAGTGCATGAGATACTAAAAAGTATGTTAGCAAAGGAATGAAGAGCATGAATATTTTTGAGATTCCATCATGCGTGTTACGACTTGTTTGGGTAAACGCTTCTCATGCAAAGTTGCCAAAATATGGCTTAAACCATTGCACAACATTATGCAATAGATTTGTTGCAACATGTTGGGGCAACACATTCTCACCCCAAGGTGTCACCTTTGACCATGCTTCAATATTTGACGTTTTAGGCGCCCTTTAGCGTCACTCACATGACGCGATCCTCTGGCGTCATCTAACTGACGCTAAAGGAAAGCGTCAGTTAGAGGACGCGGTTAGGTTTAGGTATGGGGTGGGGGTAGGGTACACGCGATCCTAGGGCGTCATCTAACTGACGCTAAAGGGCGCCTAAAGCGTCAGATATTGAAGCATGGTCAAATGCTTCCCAAGGCGTCAGTTAGGTGACGCCTTGGGAGTGAGAATGGGCTGGTTGGGGGTGTATTACTTCTCCCAACCAATGACTATTTTTCTCAAAAACTTCATGCATCTCATTCTAACCTTAAATTCAGGACTGGTCAGTTGGGCTTTAATGAGCTGTCCGAGTTCAGCCTTACTGAGCTGGGACTTCTTCTCATCTGTACCTGCATAAACCTCAAACATCTCCACTATGGCCATGATTGCTTTCTCCAGCTCAGACATGTCTATGAGAAAGAGATTCATGAAGTGACAGTTATAACCTCTTCATGCTCAATTATCATCCTAAGTCACCATAAATAAGGTATATGGCCAATGCAAAACAAACAACACATTTATATTTGCTGCAAGATGTATCCACAAAATTATGGTCTGTAACTCAGGAATGCAATGCACTGTTAAAATACAAAGAGTCTGAATGCAATTAGATATTGTATGTTTTTTTTTTTCAGTACAATAACAGTCAGTGGGTTCCAATGTTGCTTTATTTTGGACCCAACTGACTTTAAATGTACGGACAAAAATTATTGACACTTCAAATGTATACTTTTCCGTGTTCTACATGACATGATGGTGAGTAAATAATGACAAAACTTTAATGATACATCCCTTTAAATAAGACTCGAGTAAAAAAAAAAAAAATAGTCAGGCATTACATTTTTTTTCATCCATCATATTTTGCTGTAAATTTCTCTAGTCTGTTTTTAAAATCTACGACTGGTATTTCTTTATTTGTGCACTTTCTTTTTCTCTTTCTCTTCTTATTTCCTTGCACTTACCTCAGTGTTGTGGTTCCAGAGAAGTTATGGAGATGTTTTTTTTGGAGTAAATCGTCTGCTTCTTTTAAAGCACAGATTTTACTCTCCACAACACACACACACACACACACAGCGGGAGAAATGATTCATTCTTGGGCTATGAAGGATTCACACCCTATCCAGTCTGGTGAGTCTGTAAATTAATACAGTAATCTGTTCCACTTTTTAGATTCAAATATGACATCCTGCTGTGTTTTACTATGGTTATGCAATTTGATCATAGTAAAAAAAAAAAAAAAAATTGTTTTGGGTATTTCCCAAGTCAGACTGTATGGGGAATCGGAGTCACAGTAGGACATGAGTGACTCTTTGGCGTTCGACTGGGTGTTGCCCATTGTACTTCCTTCCACGTAGAAAACTGTCGAAGCCTGAACTAACTGTTTAATAATATCTCATCTTCAACATTTAGGAAAAAGCTGAAAGACTCATTGTGTAGCTATGACGTTGTTGGCTATATTTTTGTGGAGGCTTGAATCACAAGCTTCAAACGAAGCTTCATATTTGCAGTAAACAGTGAAACACTTATCCTCTCTAAATCTAGTCTTCAGACATCAAAGAATTCCTGATGTTTGCAAAATGGTCATTTTTAAAGGAGACTATACATAAATACTTTATCTTCAGTACACACAAACGCTAACAATAATGAAGCCATCTGCAGACAATATAATGCATGCAATGATGCACAAAACCATACTAGACAATGACTGCTCATCTTTATGCTCTGTTGAAGTGGAGCAACATGATTTTTCAGTATTTCCCTTAAGCTTTTTCTACATGACATGCAAAGACACTGACTCATTATCCAGTGTCGTAATATAAGCTACTTCTTGGAGACCGAAGAAGTAAACAGCCAGATAAACAGCCACACCCTAAATAACCAAACATTTTTATCATCTTCTATTATCATCACAGAATCTTTTTTTTATATATTTGCAAAACATAACCAAGTTGGTAATACTAACAGCAAAGTAATGTCTGTGAATGTAAATTCCACTGAAGTCTACCTCTAACCTCTGAGAAAACCCTTTAGGCTGTGGACTATTAAAAATAAGGGTGTGTGCTTTTAACTGTGCTCTATTTAATTAGGCTATCTTTTGTTCAGTGCAGGTTCTCCTAGATTGTAAGGTAAGTCTAACCTCAGGTGTTTTAATGAACAACCACACCTAAGCAAATATGCACACACAAAAAGAGCATTATAGGAGCCATAGCCTATGTATAGGTGCCATATCCATGAAGATTTAACTCGGGAGATCATGAGCTCTACTAAAAAACTAGGTCTAGTGACTGTGTTTAAGTGCATATAACGGTGTTACAAAGTACTTACTGTAATAATAGTAAATTGCATTACGCATACCTGAATAACATACATAACTTAAACAAACCCCTTTAAGTTGAATTACTCAGTAGTATCTACTAAAATGTGTAACACTCTAACACGTCTTAACATTGTGTCTCCAAAAATTAGACTATTGCCCAGGGGCCTTATAATGTAAAAAAAGAAAAGAAAATAAATAGCAAATATAATCATTGGTGTCACCATTCCAAAATAAAAATGTTGGAACACAAAAGTGTTTATGTCAGTTCTAAAATAATCCATCACAGACATACAGCAAAACAGCGGTCTAAATTTAATACTACAAACATGTTTGATCTTATATGTGGAGGGGAAAACATAATTGTTGAGTTACTTTTCTACGAGACAGAAATATAAAAGTAGGCTATGAGAGAAGAGGAAGGAAGAGCGAGATGATGGAAGAACTGAAGTGTGGAATACTGCTGACATCTAGTGATCATCATTTTAAACTGTAACTAAACTGAGCTGCGTCACATGAAGTGAGGCTTTCCGTGTTTACCGTGTTTTCAGTGGCATCCGCTGTAAGAAGCTGTATAAAGCTCCGATGTCACTTATAATTTTAAACAGCTAATAGGCTTGTCTGTTTTTTTTTTTGTATACTGAAGTTATCTAGTATAGATAATGCTGTGGTTCGCCAACAAAACACGCCAAAAACACAATACCAGCTACTCACTGAAGTTACGTCTATCCCTCACACAAGCTGGCTTTCATTTTTTTTTTTCATAAATAAAGGAAGATGGCGCTGCTGTGAATATGGTCACATGACAGACACGTTTCCCTTTAAAAAAAAAATAAAAAGTGTCCTTTTAGAGTGTTTATGTATTATATCAAGGATTATAAATTATGTGCATACTAGTGGAAATAATAATTGTAATTGTATTGATATATTGATTATAGTTGTACTGAAGATCCAAGGGACAAATCACACAGAAGGGGGGGGGGGGGGGGCGCACATGTTAGCACTGGGTCCCATGACTCATGTGACTGACACACCCAAGAGTCATTCTGGTTGCAAAGAGTAATTCTGGTTGCAAGGCAACGCGACTGTTTACCATAGACTGTTTACACGGATTTCAAACACGCCCACACACATTGCCTAATCGGTGGTTCCCAGTCTATGGTGGTTCCTGAGGAGGGAGGGGACACATTTTAAAACCACCAAAATGGTTTGAATCATAATCCTAAAAGTACATATTATTATGTAAACTGAAGTCAGGTACATGTAGCCTACAATCAACACCAGCTTGCAAACACTCTGCATGATGTCGACTGAGGTAAAAAAACAAACAAACAAACAAACAAAAAAAACAGCCGAGTAATAATGCTCCACAGATCATACAATAAAAGACCCAAAGAAAATAAGATTCAATTAATGTGATTACAGGGTTGCATTAAATATTGATTTGCCTGTGGTTCAAAGTTAAATCTGTGTTTGGTGTTGTTTACCGAATGTCTGATCTGTAAACAGATCACTCTAAAAAATGCTGGGTTGTTTTAACCCAATTTTGGGTCAAATATGGACAAACCCGAAATGTTGGGTTAAAAATGTAATGTAAAAATTTAACCCAATGGCTGGGTTAGTCCATATTTGACCCAAAGTTGGGTTAAAACAACCCAGCATTTTTTAGAGTGGAGGATTAAGTGAGGGCAGGGATGATTATCTATTCAAAATAGAAAGCATTCAGAAACATATTTAATTTTTTTCTTTTTTAGTAATAAAAACTAATTTCAGGGCATTTAAATGTGTTTGTTTAAATAGGCTTTTATCTTTATATATTTTAAATGTTTATATCCTGGGCAGTGATGTATCATCTGATTTATGTAACAAACTTATGTATCATACTGTATGTGTAAGTGGATTGGAAGAGACCTTTGTGATATTACTCATTATTATGTCAGACAATAAGAATCCCATTTGAATTTTAAAGGAAACATGGATAAATAATAAAGACAGTCTGTGAATTTGGCTGCTCTTTGAACATTCAGTCACTGTTGAAGTCTGTAATTGACCCATTTATGAAAATGATGTTTCCCCCAGTCTGGTTGCTCTTAAGGATTGGCATTTCTGTGTTATGTTGTTGTTATCATGCCATTTGTGTGTCTATTAGAGTTTCAGTCTTTTTTTCTGGGAAAAGCGAAGGTTGTTTTGTAGCTCTTCTCTCACTATAAGAAAACCGAATTCAAAACAGAAACGTATAAAAAATCTATACATTTTTAAAAAATAATTTCAGGTAGCCTATATATTGCATTATCATTTCAAGTTGAATAAATATGCTGTTTGTTGGGACATAATCATGCCCACAGAAAGTATAACAGAGCTGACAAGTAATTTAATATTACAAGCATTGTGCTTGAGTAAATATAATCATATGTTTAAACCCATGGGGAAATCTGCATGAAGGACAAAAATGGAACCGTTCTGTAGAATTATCCTTATTATATAAATATTCATTCAAGCAAAAGTTCTTAGAGGCTTAGTTCTGGAAAATATGTTAAGATTGTATTTGATACTCTCAAACTCAATCTAAGATGTTTTAAGTTCCAATGTGTCTGCACCCTTAAAACAATCATAAAGGGCATTTTGCATTTTCTTTTTAAAATGTCTCCAAGAGTTTCATCAGATTAACGTCTGATCTGATATCTTTCTAATTTTGCGAAGTATTTTGAAATCCAGCCATGAACAGAAAATTAATGAGTGTTTATTTCCATGGTCGAACTTACAGGACTTTGGAGAATATATTTTGTGCCCGATGCTGACACTTATAAAAACTTAAACATTTGAATATCACTGGACAAAAATGACAAAACATAATCTTTTGCAAAACATACAGTGTAACTGTAGTAAGAACTTCAAGGTATGTGGCTGAAAGTGAAAAACATATTAACATTTTTTTTTTGCCTTCACGTTTGGTTATTTAATTCTTTTTGACACCAGCAGGAGTCTGCTTATGCAGCTGGTAGATCTGTTCACAGGCAATGGAGAGGCCCACCACAAGAGACACGAACTCTTCAAAATTCACCTCTCCATCTCCATTAGAGTCCAGATCCCTCATAATCTTGTCAATGGCAGCAGGGTCCTTCTGAGTCTAGCAGAAACAAAAAATACATGTTTGCAACTTAATAGAATCATAGGTTTCCACAGATTATGGAACAAGAGTGAAATATGAAGAAGATCTGAATAATTCGGAATGGATTTCAGAGGTCCCTTGCTCAGGGCCCTCCTACAAGTCCCCGCACTTGAGGGGAACGGACCAGGGGGCGCTTCCACTACCTTGCAATGGGTCCCGCCCCATGCTTAGTATGGCCCTGCCCGTGCTATACAGTTAAATTTAAAGGTTCTTTATAGCCATTCATGGTTCTTTTGTGCATTAGAATCTTTCCACAGCATAAAATCATTACAGGGCCCAGGCCAATGTTTAAAGATATCCCGTCTTGGGTGATAGATGGAAATGTGTACCTTCAGAAAGCTAGACAGTTCTTTCTCCATCAGCAGTTTGAGCTCTTTGCGACTCAGGGATGCTTTGCTACCCTCTGTGTCGGCATAACGGTGAAACACCATGATCAGAGTTTCCATTGCTCTCTCCAGGTCAGAAGGCATTTTGACTGTCTGCAGTTAGAGATAATGTGTTAGTTTGTGTTAGTCTCATCCCTTAATCAAACTGGATATTATGCAAACAGACATTGTTCTCCCATTGAGCAGATTGGGAAACAGAGGTGGATTTTTCCATTTGGAAATAAGCCAAAGTGTGAGTAATGCCCACTAGATGTAATGCCAAATAGATGCATTAAAAAGACCTTTATTATAAGAAGGCCTATGTCCTGATGTAATTGTTTAAAGTATTTCAGAATTAATCTGTTATTGTTAACTTTTATTCTACCTATAAAAACGCTTCGATTAAGTTAGTGACACTGACATCAAATCTGTGCACACACACACACACACACACACACCATTTAAAAAGTGCAGTTCGTATCTCAAAGTCATTTATATCACTTAACAAGTAGAAACCTTACAATACTCTTTTAGAAAGTCATGCCAAAAAGTAAACTATAGTCATGCCGATAACTAAAACAATGATGTAGTATGCCCATTTAAATGTAAACTTGTTCCAGAATGATAAAAGTTTGCGTACTTACGTTGATAAAAGGCAGAGCGTCACCTGAAGATGAAAAAAATGTACTGAATGTCCTGTGCAAGAGTTGGTCAAGCAGAGGAGGAATTTA